GGGTTGTGGAGAGGGGGAGTGGGTCTGGGGGAATGTTGTCAGTGTTAACTTGAGGCCTATAAATCCACTTGGGTACATAAGGAACAGGTAGCTGGCAGCCCAAGGATCACACCTGGATGCCATCGAGTGCCTTTTGGTATAGAATGTTCTAGCAAATCCCACAGTCAACTAGTAAGTGATGAAAACATGGTCCAGGTGCAGGGCTGTGCCAGGCATAAAGAAAAATCAATTCTGTCTGAATGCTTGCCATCATTTTGTAGGTAGAGGTTTGCCAGGGCAGTCCTCCAAAAAACAATTTTATTTCCTACTTGTCTGTATGCCTACCATTCAGATCACCCTCTTACCAGGCTTCCCACAAAAGATTCCAGCAGGTTCCCTGGTATCCTTCTATCCTTCTGCTCCCACCAGATGAGCTGCATTCCTGTAAATTCAACCATGTCTCCAAACCTGTTTATGCCAGTTGCTTTGCATTTGTATAAAACACAAAACCATGAAATAGAATACAAAAAGAATGAGTAGCTGTTAGTTGTTTCTGCAAAAAACTAAGCTGAATACTTTGGAAAGACTCAATTAAGGCAAGTAGCCAAGAAAAAAAAAAAATGTTTCTGGCAAATTAGGTGTGGATGAGACAACTGTAAATGATTAGGAGCAAAAATAATAAAAACCGAGAATCATTCTGCACTCAGATTGCTTTGCAAATGTCTTTAAATTCTCACTTCACTTCAACGAAACCCAAATGGAAACCTTCGATAATGCTTATGGGTGTGGTTCGTGCAAAAAAGACAATCAGGGGTTCATGCTCAAAGAAAAGTCCTTGGACCCACGTCTGAAAATTGGTGAGTGAATGTACATGTGTTTTAAGTAAAAAATAAACTGTTGAAGGTGTGTGTGTATCAGTTTTTTCTTCTTTAACTACTTCTTTATTAATTAACAATCCTGATCAGGAAAGAAAACGTTTCTACCTTATTTCTCTTACACAGAAGGTAATTGTTAATTTATTCATTCAATACTCATCAAATATTAAGTATCAAGTGGGTAGTAGTTTAAACGCAGGCCACGCAAACTGTCCTGCCTTACTAACACCAGGAAGTTTCATACAAGCCTTACATACATTTCTGGCCCCTTCTCCTCTTCCCCTTCCCCCTGCGCCTGCTCTTTCTTCCCCTATTTCTCCTCCTTCTCTGCCCCATTTCTTGGTCACTAGTGCAGGGCCAGTGACCCCATGACCCTTCCCATTTATCACAGATTTCTCTGCCCCTGAGGGGAGTTTCAGTTTTCACTGATGATACCTCAGATATCATTACGTGGGCATTCTCTTCCTCACACATGCAGACACATTTTCTCAATGCACTTTCTGTATTCAGGATCTTTCTGAGTTGCCCTGAGAACAGCCACCTTTCTCATTTCCTCACTTCCTTCTGGTTGTATTTCTAAGGGACGTAGCTGACAGGATTACAGGAATATTACTTTCCTGAAGTGTATGTCAAGGCAAAGGAAAGCCTTCAGTTTCAGAAAACTAAAACCAGACACCTGACCTAGGGCCATCAACCTGTAAAACCATTAAAGTGATCCAGAGCTCTCCTTCCTAAGACCTGTAAAAATCACCATCTGGCTCTGTAATCTCTCTAATCACATCTGCATTTCTTCAAAAAGTACTATTCGAAATGAGAATCACCAAGTCAGCTTTACTTCCTGCCAATTTAACCACTTGTTTGGCATTCACAATGGTTTTGTTTTCCTCTCTGTTTGCATGTCACACAGAAATGATGTCAACTATACTAAACACTCTGCCAGGTAAAGAGAGAGCCCCTCACCAAGGAGACCGGCTCTAAAGAGATTTTGCTGGCTGGCCATAGCAGGTCGCCATCATCACCTGTTACACTGCTTCTGGGGAGAGAATTGTGCTTCCAATCACTCAGTCACTCAATAAACATATAAAGATATAACTGTGCATACAAAAAAAGTGCACAGTTTGGAGTGAGACTTTAAGAAATATATATGCTTCTGCATTATTTAGTGCCTTTTCCTCTTTAACTTGTAACAGGTGACAAATGCTCCTTAATCTAGCCTTGGACAACCCTTGAGTCCAAATGGGTTTTACTTGCCCTGAATTTTGCATGGCATCTAGGGCTGGCCCAAGGTTCAATGACAGCCTGCTAAGCAGCTCCATCGAGAGTTAAAATCTCAGTGTCTCTTCTGCTACTGGGTTTAATGGTGATTCTTTTCATCACTCCAGGCTTGGAGAGAGGCAGAGATTCTCTTGCTATGTTAATACTCAAGGCTCTTCTGTCTCTTGCAACAAGAGGGAAGCTGGCTTTCTGTTTCTCTGTGGCTTGGCAAAAACTGGGGAGGGATTTCTAAACTAAACGTCTGCATATCAGAATTGTGAATCTTAAGTATTTTTTTCTCTCCTGGGTTTTCCTGACAGCTAGCTTCCAATTTTGACCTCTTTTCTCTATAGGTAGAGAAATCCTCCAGTTTTTCCAATTGATCTTTATGCATTTGGTTGCCTTTATAAATATTTGAAAGCCCTTAATATTTGTGTGCATGTGTGCGTGTTTCTCATCTACCAGTTTTATCAAAGATCCCTCACTCTTGTTAAAGTAACCATGTAATATTTTGAAAAGCATTGAAACAAAAGATACTCTATTTTTTTGTTGTCATTCAGGTTAAATACATTTACATGGCCCGAGAAACGGAATGCAAAATGGATTATGGGTACCTGGCTTATGAAGAAGGAGACCCGATGGACAGCTCTGGCCGAGCTTTGCCAAAGAATCACCCGTCCCCACAGCTCACATTTTCTTTACCCAGTGCTGATGGCAGGACTCTTGAAGAAACGTCATGCTGAGGAGCCCTATTCAAAGAACATCTTCCAAAGGTTCCTCATGCTGGAGGCGTGTCAAATCTTCCGGAGTCCCATCCCAAGGGTAGCAAGACTCATCTAGTTTTCAGCTACTCCCACCTTACTAACTTCTATTCTGTGGGCAATTTCTCTGAAATAATGCATGGCTGGAGGTGAGTCTCCCGGGCCTCCCTCAAAGGTAGATGGCCCCCACGCCAGGGGTCAATGGGAGGCGAACTGTTTGCAGGGTTCATCAGTTAAAATTCCAAGACACCAAGACAAAATTTTGCAAAAGGGACTTCTCCCAAGTAAAATGCCCCTCCCGTGCAGTCTGGGTGACCACATTCTGAGGGTCCTCGGCGGGGCCCTTCTGATGGCAGCCAGATTTACACTTGCTTACTACATGGTGAACCCACCTTTGATCAACCACCACCCTTTTCAGTCCAATTCAGTATGTGACTGTGACCTCCATTTCTCGGTCCGCGACGGGGTCCTAGTGCTCAAACAAGCTGTGGTCCTGAGCGACCCAGGGGTCCCGCAATGTTTCTCCCTCCCCTGTGGTTTTACAGCAGTCTGTCAGAGCTTCCACAAACTGGATGCATATATCATCTATTAAAATATCTTTCAGGTTATTTTTCAAACTGTGGTTAGAAAATGCACACATGTTCAGTTGGATTAGATACTAAATATTAACCGTGAAGAGACTGGGGATGCGCTGCTAATGGCTGGATTTGCAGAGGTCTCAGAAGGGAGATTCTCCTGCCTTGTCTGACTGTTTCTGACACGCTTGTGAATGTCGCTGATGAGGGAGGTTGTAGCTCTGCATGGGTCTTTGGACTTCAGGCCTACACATGTCTGTTCATGTAAAATAATATGAGCAACTGCAGACTAAAGCTCACACTTGCATTACATTCAATTACATACTAGGCATGAGCCCATGGCCATCTGCCTGGCAAATGCTCTAGACCTGGTTGGGCAATCCCATGTGGCATCATCATAATAATATATTATACACCAATTTACTTTTTTATTGTAAGTTCGGGATATTTGGGCTAATGTGTAGTTATGGGGGAAAAACTTCAAGATATCCTGAGTGATTCAACTTTACAACAAAAAGTTTTTCTTTCCTCTCTTTCTAGATTCTGAATCACTTTATTTAAAGGTTATCCTGAGAGGGTAAGAGGCACGTCATCAAAGAACTATTACCAGTTGCAATCACTCACCTGTACAGATCAAAGTCTTCATAAGACTGTGCAGCTCAAAAAAGTGCAAAATAAACTAGATGCTGAGGCCGATGTACAAGCTATCACCATAAATCCTGATTCCAAATTTTAGTGTTTATCAAGACAGACTCATTGATCTCATAATGCATAAATATTATAAATTTGAATTTATAAATTTATCTTAGTACACTACTGCCACTGGATATTTTATATATTGAGATTTTAATAGGATTTTGATGGAAGAATTTTAAAAAGTCTATCAGTTTACAAAAAGCTTGAAAACAGCCTCAATGACACGGTTTTCTGTCCTAGAGCACCAGGCCCTTTTCCTGGCTCTGCAGTAAAGGCATGTGACCCCCAGAAGCTAAGCCCTCCAGGCACTGGCTTTCTGATCTGCAAAATGGAAACAATGCCACTTGTCCTACTTTCCTTTCTTGGTTGCTACCAGGGTCAAATTAAAAGTACAAGTGAAAATCATAGATGTTTTGAGCAGAAGGGACTGGAGGGGTCACCTTTTAAATATATCAGGCCCATTAAGTCAAAGTCTGTGAGGATGCAGCCAGAGGACATTATTTTTTAAAGTCCTTCTGGTAATTCTATTCTGCACCCATGATAATTATCCACTGATACAGTAACATCTTTATATTTTTTGTCAAAGAAATCTGAGTCCTAGAAGGCCTCCCCGCAAAGAGCAGCACAGTGAGAACCCCAGCCCCCTGGGCCTCGGTCCAGGCGGCCCCCACACAGCACACAGCTCCCGAGGCCTCTGCAGCCCTGGTGAATAGCTGACTGATCACACATATGTACGCAGTATATCAAAAATACTAGTGCAATGCAGACCCTCACGGCCAGTTACTACAGGAAGCTATGTAGTAAAACTCAAATATCAAATTTCTTATTTTCCTATTTTTTTTAAAGGGTTCTTCACTTACCTGAGAGACCCCATGAAATGGGAAGCCATAATGTTGGGGGTCTTGGGAAAAGCAAGGGCTCCTCAGAATTGTTGCCAATCTTCTCCAGATGGGAGTGGCGTTCAACTCCTACAGAAGGAACAACGGTGCTAGTTTAGCATCTTTCATCTAGGAGAGTCTAGAGCCCAAGTGGGCCAGTGAATCCGGAAATCAGCAAATGGAAGACACTGCCACCAAAATGCCACTGCCCCAGGAATGGTTACAAGATTTCCGGTTGAAATCTGATTATGTATGAACATGAGGTAACAAGTTCACAGGACACTCAGCACAATGACTGATCCACAAAAGATGTTCAATAAATTACTGTCGATACGATTACCTCAGAGCCTAGGCTAGTAGCAGAGTTGGCTTTAGGCAACCCTGTGTTGGAAATCTAGCTCCATCCATATCTACTAAAGCCCGCTGGACCATGGGAAAGGCATTTCACCTCTGTGTGTCTTGGTTTCCCCAAGTGCACAGTAAAAGTGTAAAAATATTGCCTAACAATAAAAAGAAATGATGTACTGACACATGCTACAAGATGGGTGAACCCTGAAAACATTACACTGAGTGAAAAAAGCCAGACCATAAAAGGCCACATATTGTATGATTCCATTTATAGGAAACATAATACATTTCTATAAAAGGAATACAGTATGTGAATCTATGGAGACAGAAAATACATGAGTGGCTGCCAGGGTCTAGAGGGTAGGGAGGTGCTAAAAGGAGAGAGCACAGGGCTTCCTCCTAGGGTGACAAAAATGTTCTCGAATTACCTTGTGGTGACAATGGCACAATCCTGTGAAGATACTAAAAACCATTTAATTGCCCATGTCAAATTGGTGAAGGGTATGGTGTGTGAGTCATATCTCAAATGTTCAAAAATTATTGTGTGAAGAACTGCTCAGATTAAACGAGTGGACAATACACTTTGCCCAGTGCCTGGCACAGAGTGACCATAAAAAGTAGCTCTGATGATACTGACACAAGAAGGGGTCAAGTAACACTTAAAATGTGTCACCACAGTAAAAATAAGCAGGTAAAACCCCTCACCTACAAGTATTACTTAGAAGCCCTCACGAAACAGAATTTCTTAATATCGTCACATGAGCCAACAGTTTCAAAGGTAAATTATAAATGGCCTCAGAAAGCCTGGAATGAGAGGTTTGGTTGGAATGTTGGAACTTGGGAAGAAAAACCAGGGCCCAGCCTCCCCTCCTTTGCACCGTCTCTCAGAGAAAGACACAGTGAAGCAAGGGTCCAGGGTGTGCACAGGGGTCCTCTCAAGTAACACCAGAGTTTTCCAAAATCACTGGTTTCCAAACTCTTCCCCGGACTTCATCTTTCCTTCTCACTATAAAAGGGGGATGGGGTCATAAATCATAAGAACTTGGGAAATGACAGTCACAAGAATCAGAAAGTTCCCTATGCAGGAGAAAATAATCAAGATTTTAGAAGTCACCACCAGCCCTTTCTGGAGGTTATTAAGAAAGTAAAGCCTCTTAACTATAATCACCCCTAATTAGCCATCAGCAACTCATGGAATTACTCATGGTATTGAAGACCCTTAAATTCTTGGGTCTCAGCCAGAAGTTATTCTCAGATCCACCAGGAAGAAGGCCAACAAGTGCAAATTGGAACAGTTAAAACTCCTCTGAATCTGAGGTGGGGCCTCCTTGCCCTCGGCTGGGGAGCAGGTAGGCACGAAGGAAGGACTGAACTGGGGGGTCGGATGAAATCTTTGCCAAACTCCCGCTCATGACCAACTAACCAGTAATTAATTACTAGCTCACTGTGTGGAGCGCCCAGGTCCTCTCCCAGGCGCTGTTGGGCTCTCAAGAGAAGGGTGGGCTCATTCGGGTCTCACTTTACAATCCAGGTTGGGTGGGAAGATTTTGGGACACGGAGTTATCTGGGGAGAGGATGGTGTTGTCCAGAACAGCATAGGGTAAATAGTGTTACACAGAGACCTTAAGTGCAAGTCAAGGTATTTCGAGAGGAGAATCACTTCAGAGGGCTGGCTGGGCATCAGCCCTTAGACTACGCAGGACACAAACGAACAATCCAGAGAAGTTGGTAAAAGTGTGCACACTGTTACCTCAAAGCCCTGGATCTCAGCCCAATATCCCCATCTATTAACCAGGTGACTTGGGCAATGAATCCTTTCATTTTTCTATTTCCTCATCTCTAAAGTGGGATACTGTTTACAACTACTTCACAGGGTTGTTATGAATATTTAATATTCATTGAGACTGCATGACCTGGCTGCCAGACACACACACATGAACACACACACACACAACACCCCAAAGGCCGCAGGCACGGTCTCTGCCCCTCAAGGAACTTGCAGTCTAGATGCTAGAAGGCTATACACTTTAAGCAAACTGAAACATAAACACGTATAAAGATAAGATTGTGGTAAGAGCCAGGAAAGAAAGTCCAAGGTGCCTCAGAAAGTATATGGGAAGTGTACTGAGGGACACTCTCTGAGGGAGGGAACCCTCACGCTGGGCCTTGAGGGGTGAGTAGGAGTCAGCCAGCTGAAGAGGAAGGGGGAACAGCACAGGTATGAACGTGGGGAACGTCGGAAACAACGCGTGGAAAGTGGCAGTCAGAGGAGAACGTGGGGAGAGCTGACCGTCTCCAGGGAGGTCAGGTGCCCAGAATATAGTAAGTGAAGGTTGAGAAGGATGAGGGACGGAGAGGTGTTCAAGATGACTCCCCCCAGATTCCCGGGGCTCGGAGGTGCAAAGGAGGTGCTAACAGTTCGGTTGCTTTTTGTTGGGAAAGGAAGGGCAATGTTGAGGAAAGGAGGTGTGACGTGAAGCAGTGGTTTCCAAATCTGACAAGAAATCCACCAGAGAAACATCTTAAATTATCAAAACAACTTGAAAACAGATTTACAACCGCTGCTGATAACCACGATCCTCATCCTCTGCGTGTATTTTTTTATTTGCTGATAATAGAATGAAGCCATTATGATTAGCATGTCATTTTAATATAGGGTCTCTTTCATCTTTATCTCTTCCTTTTAAAATCTGTATTTTGAGTGTATGTTTCATGTGGTCACATCGTACACTGACAGGGTAAAAAAATAACCAAACATATATTGGAATGTATGCTCAATTATTTTATACTGATGGGATGTGCAATAAAAAAAAAAAATTGGAGGCTGCTGCTCTAGCATGCCTCTTGACCAGCTTCTTGTCACATTTGATTAGTCACTTTCATCTCATGATAGGGTTGATGAGCCTGTCCTGGCAGAGCTGGAGCAGCTCTGTCGTTTCCTGGTGTTGACTTGTGCTTCCATGATTAGTACTGTGTTAAACCTGCTCTGCTTTTCATACAGCAGGTCACGACCCATTAAGCCTGTCATGAAGTCAGTGTTGTGGGTCACGACCTGCACTCTTTTGAATTAAATGGAAAAGAATGAAAGAGAAGAGAAGTAATACCTGCATGCATCGCACATGGTAAGAGGGCATGTGTAAGTGGCACAGAGTGGAAAAGCCCCTCTCTCTCAGACTAGAAGGTACTGCCGGATCCCGTGACTGGGGAATAACATCAAGAAAATGAGGCAAAGCCATGGTGCCCAAGCCCCTGAGAAGTGGTGCCAGGAGAGTTTTGATGAGATGGACAAGAGCCATGGAAGGTTCTGGAGCAGAGAGGGACCTGATGATGAAAGTGAGGTTTCCCTCCACTTGACAAAAGTATACTGAGCCCGCAGATTGAGCGAATACGCTGTCTGTGGAGCCAGGCCTGTCTTTGGAGCTTAAAACCAGACACCTGACCTAGGGCCATCAACCTGTAAAACCATTAAAGTGATCCAGAGCTCTCCTTCCTAAGACCTGTAAAAATCACCATCTGGCTCTGTAATCTCTCTAATCACATCTGCATTTCTTCAAAAAGTACTATTCGAAATGAGAATCACCAAGTCAGCTTTACTTCCTGCCAATTTAACCACTTGTTTGGCATTCACAATGGTTTTGTTTTCCTCTCTGTTTGCATGTCACACAGAAATGATGTCAACTATACTAAACACTCTGCCAGGTAAAGAGAGAGCCCCTCACCAAGGAGACCGGCTCTAAAGAGATTTTGCTGGCTGGCCATAGCAGGTCGCCATCATCACCTGTTACACTGCTTCTGGGGAGAGAATTGTGCTTCCAATCACTCAGTCACTCAATAAACATATAAAGATATAACTGTGCATACAAAAAAAGTGCACAGTTTGGAGTGAGACTTTAAGAAATATATATGCTTCTGCATTATTTAGTGCCTTTTCCTCTTTAACTTGTAACAGGTGACAAATGCTCCTTAATCTAGCCTTGGACAACCCTTGAGTCCAAATGGGTTTTACTTGCCCTGAATTTTGCATGGCATCTAGGGCTGGCCCAAGGTTCAATGACAGCCTGCTAAGCAGCTCCATCGAGAGTTAAAATCTCAGTGTCTCTTCTGCTACTGGGTTTAATGGTGATTCTTTTCATCACTCCAGGCTTGGAGAGAGGCAGAGATTCTCTTGCTATGTTAATACTCAAGGCTCTTCTGTCTCTTGCAACAAGAGGGAAGCTGGCTTTCTGTTTCTCTGTGGCTTGGCAAAAACTGGGGAGGGATTTCTAAACTAAACGTCTGCATATCAGAATTGTGAATCTTAAGTATTTTTTTCTCTCCTGGGTTTTCCTGACAGCTAGCTTCCAATTTTGACCTCTTTTCTCTATAGGTAGAGAAATCCTCCAGTTTTTCCAATTGATCTTTATGCATTTGGTTGCCTTTATAAATATTTGAAAGCCCTTAATATTTGTGTGCATGTGTGCGTGTTTCTCATCTACCAGTTTTATCAAAGATCCCTCACTCTTGTTAAAGTAACCATGTAATATTTTGAAAAGCATTGAAACAAAAGATACTCTATTTTTTTGTTGTCATTCAGGTTAAATACATTTACATGGCCCGAGAAACGGAATGCAAAATGGATTATGGGTACCTGGCTTATGAAGAAGGAGACCCGATGGACAGCTCTGGCCGAGCTTTGCCAAAGAATCACCCGTCCCCACAGCTCACATTTTCTTTACCCAGTGCTGATGGCAGGACTCTTGAAGAA